TTTTTATAAAATTCCTAATATCTCGTGACTCTGTGATCCAATTCTAATAAATTTTATACCATTCGATTCCTCTCAATGAGAGGAATCGAATGGTATAAAAATTGCATGATTCTGATCACGTGATGTCGAGATACGCAAATTCGTCAAATTACTTTTATTCGTCAAATTACCCCTATCTACTTTATATTTTAATTAATAATTACTTGTAATATATTACAAGTAATTATTAATTAAAATATAATTTTTTTTTTTAACCAGTAGATAATCGTTACTATTAGGTTAAATAGCAGAAATTAACTGAAAAAGAAGCTCAAAAGAAATATCGATAAATGAAAGGGTTTAGACAATCTTTGTGGATACTAAGTTTGGAGGATCTGGATGATTTTCTTGAGAAAAACAAAAATAACCTAAACCCACTACAGCTTGAAGGTTTTTAAAACTTATTAAGTGGTCTTGATGAATTTTGGAAGAGGAATCAATTGTGTCTCTTCATGAAAATCATCATATAGAAATTTTTTCTTCTGCTATCTTGGAAAGTACAGATATAATTCGTGCCACACCAAGTTTTCATGAAAAGCTATTATTTTTAAATATTATAATAAATAGTTTTAACAGAGAAAGTAAAATAATTTGGTATGGTTTAGTAAGTATAAATTATATTTTCATATGTTTAATAGAACGATAAATAATAGTAAAAATTAGTTAATAATGATAATAAGCAAAATAATTCTCAAAGTTAGAGTATACATTTATTTCTACTAACTTTGAGAATAATATATATAACTAATATAAATATTTCTTTAAAAGTATTAATAATATTCAAGTTTTATAAAGAGATAAATAAAGAACCACTTGAACTCGCCTTAGTCCACTGGTATGAGAGAGATGGTGAATTATGGGGATGTCCAAAATTAACGTTGCTCAAATACTATAGTTGTATACCATTAGAGAGCGTAGATAGAACTATTCATATAGTTTTGAGATTTAATAAAACAAATGAATATCTAGTGAAATGCTTTATGCTCTAAATTAGCATGCACTAAATAATTTAAAGTGTATATTATATTAAAGTATATATGTTATAATTATTATAATATCGATATAAATGCATAATATGTAATGATAGATATCAATAATCGCACATGAGCAATAAAATTAGAAACGATAATATTTAATATATATTTGTATATATTGATTATTTATACATATCAAATTTTATCAATATATAAGATATATATCGATAGTTATCTACATATCGATAATTATCAAAATATTTAATAATGATACATATCATTTAATAGATATATATCGATTATTATCTATATAACGATATATATCGATAATTGATATATATTAATATATATCTATTTTATCGATATATATCGATTAGTTTTAATTGATATATATCAATAAATTAATATATATCGATATATATCTATATATAAATTTTGCTGATGATAACCTATTCTTCTACTTCTATTTTCATCAATACAACCTGTTCTTCTATCTCTATTTCTACCAATACAACCTGTTCACAATCGGTGCCTCCTACTTCTATTTCTAACAATACGATCTGTTCTCAATTGGTAACTAGTTCTCAAAATAGTGACAGTAATTTATCTGATTCATACAAAAATATTAAAAGTATACAGAATATATTTGAGAAAATAAAAAAAAAACGAACAAAATCAGAACATACTACCCAATCACATCATCTATCTCTTTCATAACAAACCTCTTACTCTCGACAAGATACTTTAGCTTGTTCTTCTTCTCGTTCTTAGCAATCACCAAGAAGATCCCAATTACCAAGAAGATCTTAATCATGGGGAAGATCCTAATCACAGAGAAAATCCCGATCACAAGATCAATGATCTTCTAATTAAAATAAGCCACACAATCGTGATAGTATATAAGTTCTTTTTTTTTTTTTTTTCTTAGATATCGCACTTTGTATATATATATATTTTTTTTTTGAAAGAAATTTTTTTTTTTTTTTAAAAAAACTGAATTGAAAAATGTTTAAACCAATACCACCAGCAGATGGATTAGAAGCTATTTATATAGCATCAGCAGCTATACCTTTTACTTAAAAAGATCAATGAAGACGTATAAGAAATCAAGGCTAAAGTAAAACGGCAGCTACTTGATACCAAAAATGAACTTTCTCAAAAGGTCTTGGAAGTGAGTATTCGATATATGTCGATATATATAGATGTTGTAATCAGAACTCTTAAGTTAGACTTTCTATAAAACGAATTTACTAGTGTTACAAATATCTCTTCCTGCTTCATGTGTATTCTACCCAGATCATAGTAAAGAAAATCTTTAAGGCTTATATGGAAGAAATATTCCCAAATTTTATGTCTAACATAAGTTCAAATGAATTCACAAACTGTTATTACAGCAAATAGTTAAGTCAGGTAATATTCACTTTCTTAATTATGTATTGCTTATCTGTTATATTTATTTATAATCATTTATAATCATTTATAATTTTTAATATATTTATTTACTATAATTTATACTATACAGATAATATTTTTAAATTAAAGTATATATTGTTTGTAATTATAAATAATCATTTTTAATTAAGAATTATCGTTTTTAATTTATTTTATAGCTTCTGCAAAAGATTAAGAATAATCATAGTGCTGTCTTGCAAAGTGTTAGGTTTGCAGTTTGGCATATTTTTGGGCATGAAAAGTTGTCTCCCCTGAAAAGTAACGCAGCTGCGACTGCCATTGTGAGTTGAAAGAAAAGTCAAGCCATAAGCAATTGCTATCACATGCTTTTTGAAAAAGATAATGAAGGTATACTTTGGGTATATACAATTGCAAAAACAGCCTTTTTAGCAGTAGTAGGGTTTTTCAAATATTTGATTTGATATTTGATACAATTTGATGCAATTTGAGTTATACTGCATAAAATATAAATTATTCAATTAAATACTCTAAAATGATGATAGTACCTATAGGTACTATCATCATTTTAGAGTATTTAATTGAATAATTTATATTTTATGCAGTATAACTCAAATTGCATCAAATTGTATCAAATATCAAATCAAATATTTGAAAAACCCTAGACAATAGTGGTCCCGACTTTGACAAGCACACATTGTATATTCACACTTGCAGTATGTGAGATCCTATTAAACCCCTGATTACAAAATATTCTGTGTATCGAAAGATGTATAAAATATCATATTGAAAAATATTTGGTAAGTAATTGTAATGTAGTTTTTATATAGAAGCAGCTCACATTTCAAAAACTCTAATTTCTATATGTAAACTATGTCACGTTATACTATGAGCTCTCTCTGGTTGAGTGGCGAATCACCAATTAATGTTAATTAATTTTAATATATTATTATAGCAAGAATTTGAGAGTGATGATCCCTTACATGAAATGGCTAATGCTTTATTAACTAATAGTGAACTTTGCAATGATACTGATAGTAAACCTTGTGATAATGAATAATCTAATGAGGCATCACCTCAATATGACCTTGATTCCAATAAAACCCTTCCTTAAAAATCTTCATCAATGCATCTTTCTCAAGAAAATATGGATGATTTGTTTGGAGTCACTTAGTAGTATTTAATATTTTTTTAGTTTTTTTTTTTAATGTATAATTTATATATTATGTATTGCGCATTGCTTTAATATTATAATAAAAAAATATAATATATGTAAAAGTAAAATTCTAAATAAAATAGTTACTGCTTTAAATATTATATTGCTAAAATGCTATAGTTGATATAATATTAGTATTAAATTAGATATCAAATAAATGAATACATATCAAGAAGAATCGAAATATAGACTAATTGATATATATTGAATTTATATTATAATGGCTATGTATCGATATATATCTAAATCAATATAATCCAACAGAGTAGATTGTTATCAATATTTATCCAATATAGATATATATCCATATATATCAGTATATTTTTTTTGCTAATAATTGATTGTTGTATTTGTTTGTTGTTTTTGTTTAAGTTTATCACATGACTTTTGTTATGTTTACTTTGTTTATTTTTTATTATATGTTGTGATTCTTGTATTACCAAAACAGATCTGCAATTCAGAGTTAAGACAATTCTTCAAATTTTGCAAAGTACAAAAAAATACTGATAATATTTTATTACTTCTTCTATTTCTTTATCATTTTTGTTTCTTATAACTCAAGTCTCTAAGGGCTATACAGTAAATCACATAATTTCTGCTTACTATAAGGTCTACCCCCTTTCCCCTTTGTGATAGACATTAACCAATCAAAATTTTTTTTTCTTAAAATGTGATAAATTAGCTACCCCCTCCCTCCTAAAAAATCATGTGATTTTCTGTATTTCTCTAAGAAACTGAGTACTTCTTGTTATTCTCTTTCTCTTTCTTTAGAGCTTCGAGTTTGGTTTTCTAAAGACTTTTGTGTATTTTTTGTAGTTTTTAATTTATTTGTTTTTTTAAAAATTTTTGTTTTGATGATTAGCGAAAAGAGTTGTCTTGGTAAAAAACTATTGGCTATATTATTTTATATGAAATTACTATAAAATTAACAGTTTTTTGCCTATATCTTTTGATCCAGTAATTCAAATTGAATAATTTTTGTACTATTGGATTTCTCTCATTAAGATGAATCTAACAGTATCAAATTTATTTAATTTAGATTATTGGGTTACAAGATACTATATTTTTCCAACATGTGTACCCAGGATATATCTCTAGCCTATTTTAGTACCTGAGGTATGTATGTAAGGGGTATACTGTATGAGTACTTCTATGTTTTTGATATGTTTTCCTATTATATGCCTGAGTACATAAGTATGATACTCCTATACTTATATACTCAGATATAAATTAAAATTTGGCACTCTAAATTGCTACAGAGTATAGCCCATGGAGGGGTATACATGTTGAGGAAATATGATAAACTATATTTTGTAAAAATTTATATATAAATATGTGAAATTTAAAATTTTTTTTATATAGTCTGGGGGTTAAGTGTTTCTGTATAGGGATATATAACAGTCATACAATATATCACACAGATCACAGGTGTAAATTTTTTACTATAAAATTTGATTGATTGATATACATATAATAGGCTCATTTTTTATAATAAATTACAACAGTATATTTTTTTGAATGCTGTTTTCAGAGGTTTTTTAAAAAGAAACTATATTCACAAGATATAAAGTACTATAGTCTAATAATATACATACTTTCATATTTTTATATTTAAAATAAGATAAGTAATAAATTTGAAAAGAATACAGTCCTTGAAGTTGGCTTTTTATTTTATTTTTATATATAGTATTCGCTTATTTGGTTTTTATAAACTTACCAATCCTGTTTAAAACTACAAACTACTAGAACTTTTAGAAAAAGTTATAAGCTACGATTACAAGGCCCAAGTTTTAATTTAAACAAAACTTGTTATAGTTTAGAAATCTTGCAATTAAAGAAAATTTAACTACTAATATAGTAGTTTAAAGTCTAATAGGTTAAAACTAAACTATTACTAAAAAACAATTTATTAAAATTCGAACAGGTTAAACCAAATTTATTATAGATGATATTAGCTTGGTATTTTAAAAAAAGAATTTATCATATTAAAAATTGCTGGGTTGGATTGAATTAAAACTAAGATACAGTTGTAATTTGAAATACAATTAGAAAAAAAAATTTTGTAAATTTATTTATTTATTTATTAATTGGTGATTTGCTAGTCAGCCAGTGAGAGGTCATAGTGTAACATAATGTGGTTTACTTATAGAAATTAGGGTTTTGCGAATGTGGGCTACATTATTCTAAAACTTTTTTTGTACTAAGTTAACTACTCTTGGGCTTCTAATTGAAGTTGTAGAGCTTATTGATAGAAATCTAATAGTGGTTGAATTGTTAAAATCGGCTTTGTGGATTATGAGATATCTTCAAAAAACTTTTTGCTGACTATGTAAAATTCTCTCTTTTGACAATAGTATCACCAAGAGAATTTTACATAGTTGGCAAAATGTTTTTGAAGATATCTTGTGATCTACAAAGCTGATTTTGATGATTTAACTACTATTAGATTCTTCTCAATAAGCTCTACAACTTCAATTAGAAGCCCAAAGGTAGTTAACTTAGTATAAAAAAAGTTTTAGAATAATGCAGCCCACATTCGCAAAACTCTAATTTCTATAAGTAAACCACATCATGTTACACTATAACTTCTTACTGGCTGACTGGCGAATCACCAATTAATAATATCTTAAATATATCGATTAATAAGTGAACTTGGTGCTGGAAAAAAGAATGAAAGAGAAAAAAGATGAAAGAGAAAAGAGACGAATAAATAAAATTAACAAAAAAATTCCTTACAAAAAATTAATTATCTCATAAACTATTATTCAGAATTATATAATTTTGATATCATTTGATTTATCTTAGTGAGTCAAATTAAATAGTACTAAAATTATATGATTCTAAATGATAGTTTATAAGATAATTAATTTTTGTAAGGGATTTTTTTTTTGTCAATTTTATCTCTTCATTCTTTTTCTCTTTCATCTCTTTTCCTTTTTATCCCTTTTCTAAGTACCAAGTTTAAATAATTTTAAATAATGTATAATCAATACGAATATAATCGTTTTAATATTGTTCAATAAGCCTATAGAAAAAAAATATAAAGAATTTAATTAATATAGCTAAATTATAAATTTTATATTTCATATTGTCAGTATATATTTATATCTAAAATTTTTTTTTAAACAAATAAAATAAAAGAATA